GGATAAGTGACTTGTCTAAGTTCCCTCAAATAGTAAGACCCCAGGTCACTGTGACCCCACAGCCTGTACACTTACGTTTGCCCTGTAGGTGGCAGTAGTAGAGGAGGAAGAGGGGTGGGGGGAGGGTGGTGAACGCCTCATCAGGTCCAGGGAATTATGGGTGAACAGCTGAGAGCTGTGATGGGTCCGGCTACTTGACAAGAGGCGGATCTGTCATTTCCCGAATGGAATCCTATGTCACAGTTTCATGAACCCATTGACCTTAGATAAAACCCAGCACAGATTTCTTCCCCAGGAAAGATCACTGATGCCTTCAGCTCTCTGGCCAAGAGGAGCAATTTTCGTGCCATCAGCAAGAAGCTGAATTTGGTATGTGGAGCAGGGATGAATGGGGGTGGGGGGGTGCCGGTTCGGTCCTTGGTGGAATACTTCGAGTCCGCAAAAACCTTTGCATCTTTTGTTTCTATCAAGATCCTACCACGCTGGCCGGTTTGGTTCAGTGGTTAGAGTGTGGGCCTGCGGACCCAAGGACCGCGGGTTCTATTCCCGGTTAAGGGCACATACCTTGGTTGCAGGCTTCTCCCGGCCCGCGTCAGGGATTGTGTGAGAGGCAGCCCATCAATGTGTCTCTCACATGGATGTTTCTCTCTCTCCCCCTCCCTCCCACTCTCTCTAAAAATCAATGGGAAAAGATCCTCGGGTGAGGATTACACAACAAGAATAATAAAACGTGAAACCACGGGTAAAGGGGACTACTGTAGGCTCATTTATTTACTTATTTTAGGTTGGCAAACAAGACTTATTTAGTTGTTTGAAGGTAAGCCAAGTTTCGCAGTGCAAAAGGTAAAAGCAACGTGGACTGTGATGTCCTCAAACTGTAGGCTCTTTCTTCAGGCTTTTCCCTCCACCTTCCCTAGTCAGGGCGGCTTTACTGAAAATAACAACACTCCCCATTCCTTGTTTGGACTCTTCTTTTCGGGCCGTGGCTGCCTCCCCCTTTAGTTGAAGGAAGAACCGTTCTTGGGGACCTGCCGCTTCTCCCTGACCCTGTGAGCGACCGGAGAGCTGAGTTGTCACTTGATTTACCCTCTAGATCCCGCGTGTGGACGGCGAGTACGATCTGAAGGTGCCACGCGACATGGCGTATGTCTTCAGCGGCGCTTATGTGCCCCTCAGCTGCCGGGTCATTGAGCAGGTGAGAACACGTGACCTCGCTCCCACGCGTGTCTCTCTGCTGGGCCCTGGTCTGACCCACGTTTATGCTGCCCCGCTAACTAGCAAGATATGGGATGGTTGGGCCGCTGCGACCTTCCTTTCCTAAACCCCATCCCGTTGCCCCACCTGGTTTGGCTGAGTGGATAGAGTGTTGGCCTGCGGACGGAAGGGTTCTGGGTTCAATTCCGGTCAAGGGCACATGCCCAGGTGTGCAGGAGGCAGCCGATCCATGATTCTCTCTCATCATTGATGTTTCTCCCTCTCCCTTCCTCTCTGACTGGAAATCAATAAAAATATTTTAATATATAAATAAAAATCAGAAAAGTGCCACAGTAAAGTCATTATTTCTTAACTACGACATTATCATCATTCATTTTTGAGTAAAATTGTACAGCTGGATTTCTATATATGTACATGTATATGCATATAAGGTGCTTATAAAGTTAAGTTGCTCAGAACATCTTAATGTTATTTCAATTATATTATGGTGACAATGGACAAGATAAAACAGTTATAATCAAAATACTGACTTAGAGCCCTAGCTGGTTTGGCTCAGCGGATAGAGCATCGGCCTGTGGACCAAAGGGTCCCCCAGGAGATTTTTCCACTGATTTTTAGAGAGAGTGGAAGGGAAGGTGAGAGACACACAG